TGAGAGTCTAGAAATAAATTCTTACATTGATAGTCAATTATGGCCCGAGCGGCAAGACAATTCAATGGGTAAGAATAGTCTTTTCAACAAATGCTTCTGAGGCAACTGGATAGCCACATTCAAAAGAATGAATTTAGACTGCTGTCTTACTACAAATGTAAAAATTAATGAAAAATTGATTATAGACCTAAGTGTAAGAGCTAAAACTATGAAACTCTTAGAAAAAATAGTAAATATTCATAACCTTAGATTGTGCAATGGTTTCTTAAATATAATACCCAACAACCCGGTGACAAAAGAAAAAAGTATAGAAATATACTTCATCACAATGAAAAACTTACTGTGCTTAAAAAGACATATCAAACAAGTGAAAATATACCCCCTGACTAGGCAAAACTATTTGTGAATAATATAGGGAACTTGAATCCAGATTACATAAGAATTCTTACAACTCAAAAATAAGAAGATAAATAACCAAACTAATAAGTGGACAAAGGATTTAAATCTATTTCTGCAAAGATGATATACAAATTCCCAATACGCATGTGAAAAGATTCTAAGACAGTATTAGTCATTAGAATAGTACCAATCAAAGCCACAATGAAATACCACTTCACACCCACGGGGATGGCTATAATAAAAATATGAACAAAGCAGGTGCTGGGAAAGATGTGTGGAAATGGAGCTCTCCTATGTCACTGGTAGGAATGTAAAATGGTGCGGCCATTTCTGAAAACAGTTTGGCACTCTCTCAAAAAATTAAACATAGAGTGACCGTTAGACCCAGCAATTCCACTCCTTGGCTTATATCCAAAGGAAATGAAAACATATGTCATGCAAAAACTTGTACACAAATACTCATAATAGCCCCCAAGTGGAAATAACCCAAATGTTTACCAATGGATAAAGACATAAAATATAGCATAGTCATACAATAGCATATTGCTTAGCCATAAAAAGAGAATGCTGTACGGATACATGTTACAACATGAATGAACTTTGGAAACATTATGCTTAAGTGAAAGAAGCCAGAAGCAACAGGTTATGTATTTTATAATTCTATTTATATGAAATATCCAGAATAGGCAAACTCATAGAGACGGAATGCAAAGTAGTGTTTGCCGGGGATGCAGAGAGGAGCAATGGGAGTGACTGTTAATGGGTATGGGGAGTGTTTTTTGTTGTTTGTTTTGATTTGTTTGTTTTTAAGGATGATGAAAATGTTCTGGCTTCAGATAGTAATGTTGGCATATTTTTGCAAATATACTAAAAACCACTGAGTTATATACTTGGAAAGGGTGGATTTTATGGTATGTGAATTAAACCTCAGTAAAGCTATTATTTTTAAAGCTCAACAGTGTAAGAATACTGTATTTTATTTTTAAAGTAATTGATTTGTCTTAGCTAGATGTTAATTCATACTTGTTTACAATGAAGCCACTTACTAATGGTGCCCTGCATAGTCAAACAATAATACCCTCCTGAAATCAATATAGTCTATGACCTAATTAAATAAAATAATTTATTATTGTAAAAATATTTATCATTTAACAGGGTCCTGAGAGCCCATGTGCTGAGCAAATGTGCTCACAATGAGGACTGAGTAATTGAAACTCACTGAGAAACAGCAGGGCAGACCAGTTACCAGGACCCTGTGAAATACCAATGGAATGAAACTTGACGGCATATGTTAGCCCGTGGGACCCAACCCTGGCTGGTCATCAATATCCCTGGTGGGGATTTACAAATACGAATTCCAGGGCCTCTCCAGAATAGCCTACAGACTCTCTACACCCATGTCCTGGAACTTGGAGTTTAAATTTCCTGCTAAGTTACAACAGAAGAGCAGCCAGCTTTGTGAACTACATTCTCCATCATCATTCTTCACCTCTAGGCAGGTCCTCCAGAAGGTTGAGCTGTGTAACCCCCTCCAGCAACTCAACTCATTCTAGTGTAGAAAACCCACTGGAGTTAGTTTATCTGACCTGATCCTGTTACGGTTTAGAGCAATTTCTTTTTGCTGACTGGCATCAGCAGAGCTTGGCACCCAGCTCATGGTCCCTTCTGCTGCTGAAACCCATTATTACAATGCAATTAATATGCTTTCCCAGCTACATGTGACTTTTGTTCCCTCACATATCCTAAATTTTGTTTCCCTGACAATTGGTAGCTCCCAAGATGGTATTGTACTCACTCTAAATACATGCATGGATGATGTTGCATGAACGTTCGAATTAAATAAATTAAGCTTCAAGAATGTTCTGAAAGATTTAGTATTTGACCTGGAAAGCTTTTCTGCTTGTCTTTATAAGGGGGCTGCATGACTTACTTTCCATAAGGGAGTCATACTTTTCTTTAATGCTCTCCTAGGTCTTTTAGCCAAAACTCCAGCTAGGGAGCAAGAGAAAGAAATATAAAATACTTAAAATTCTGCAAAGCCTTATATTTAAAGAATCTTTGATACAAATTATATCTCTTCAAGGCTGGAAAACCTTGTGATATAATAAAGCAGATTAGGAAGTCTCTACTGAGAGGCCAATGTCTTCTTGAGACCTATCAGTAAAAAGAGAAAAGGGGTTTCCAACTCAGTGGTTCTCAAACTTGGAGGCTTTTTATGCTAAGTGAAATAAGCCAGTAAGAGAAAGACAAATACCATATGATTTCACTTACATGTAGAATCTAATGAACAAAATAAATAAACAAACAAGATAGAAGCAGACTTGTAGATAGAGAGAACAGATGGTCAGCTGTCAGAAGGGAAGGATTTGGGGGGCTGGGTGAAAAAGGTGAAGAGATTAAGCCAAAACAAAAACAAAACATAGACACAGACAACAGTATGATGATTACCAAAGAAAAATCGGGGAGGGGGAAGGAGTACAGGGTATAAGGGGGATAAATGTTGATTGGAAGAAGACTTGACTTGGGGTGGCAAACATACAATATGATATACAGATGATGTATTATAGAATTGTACACCTGAAACCTATATAATTTTCTTAACCAATGTCACCCCAATAAATTCAATAAAAATTAAATAAAAACTCCCTGATGCCCAGGCCACACCCTAAACCAAGTAGACCTGAATTCTAATGGTGATACAAAAGCATTAGTATCTTTGGATGCTCTCCAGATGATTCCAATACAGAACCAAGTTTGAGAACCATGGCCCTTCCTCTTACCCCAGAGACTCCTCACTGCCAATGACTGATTCCTAATTTATACTCTGCCTAACTGAAGTGACGAGTGTGCCACATTCATGAAGGCATATCTCCTCCTAAGACAGTAGCGCGTTGGGAAGATGGGTCCTTTTTCACCATAGTCACCTGCTTCAATGGGCCAACCAGCACAAGGCACAGGACAGTTCCTTTTCAGTCAACCCATCTCTTTGCTCTGTTGAGTTATGTGACATGTCCAAGGACATTAAGTGTATATGTATAAACAGACGCATCTACTCTTAAACAATGTCTCCATGTAGAAAAAAAAGATAAGGTTTTAACTTAAAGAGATGCTCATTTAAAAGATGCTTTGACAAGTTCTCAGACGTTGGTCTAATCATCTTGCAAACTGGCTTATGTTCCAGCTGGCTGCTGCTTTGAGGAAGTCATGACAACTTTTACTGCTTTGCTTCACTTCATTATCTGAGAAAGGACATACTAATCCAAAATCTGCCCATGAAGTCTGCCTCTCAGAGATAGAAGGAAGCCAAGTTAGATAGCATCTATGGGTTCATAGGCACATATCTATGAAAATAAGATGTGCCATATTATTATAATTTTCTCACTTAAACATAAGGTAACTCCAAGAATAAGGAAGATAAGAAATCCATTACCTCTTTTTTTAAAAAAAGAATGTTGGCTGGTCATTGTTTTAGCTGATATTTAACAAGAAGCTTAGCAAATGTTGGAAAAGAGAGATTATATCTACAAAGAATGGAGTTAGTCCAAAGGAAGTGCTTATTTGTCTCACAGGGGATCTTTACATTATGTAGATGCTTAAGTTAACAGAAATTTCTAAATTGGAATTTTATTTCTGCAATATGTATGATAAGAGGCTGAATGGAAAATAAGGAAGACTATTACACATGGTTCTTAATCCTTATGTGGGAGAGAAAATAAACAAACATTAAGTCTCTTTATCTGACCAGTTATTTAAAATGAGGTCTACACCAGAAAATCTAGGGCTTTAAGTCTAAAGGTGTTTAGAGAAGAAGGAAAAACTCATAAAGGATGAACAAGTGGGAGCAGAAGTAATTAGGAAGGCTTCATGGAGGAGGTGAGATGAGAGCTGGAACTTGGTAGGGAAAGAAGAAAAGAGGGACTGGGATGAGCAGAGCACTCACTGGTCCTGCAGGCGGAATGTGTACCCAGTGTCACTGGCTATAGGAAACTTGGCTTAGAAGCACAAGACACATTCTGGGGGCGTGGCTGCTGAGGTTGGATCTGCAGGATCAAGGGTTGACAGTGGTGAACTGGTAAGAGGTAGCTATTGGAGTCCATTGCCCTGAGTTACTTTTACCCATTTACCCAACATGTAGCCATGGGCAAATTACTTAACCCTTGACTCTTATGGTCTTTATCTGTAGTTATAAGTATGTAAAACCCCTGGCTCAATGCATTCCATCGCCATGAATTCCCCCTCCACTCTTGACTTGCCAAGAAATAAGGAACCATAAAAAACCAAAACATTTTGACTAATGATACAATGTAACAAAACCACAAAATAATTAATCCATTAACAAATTACTTTATAGCCTATGATGAAGTCAACAAATTCCTCAGAAAGAAAAATGGTGGTGGAGAAATCCCAAGGAAAAGGCATGGCTGAGTTTTAAAAAGCTGGTTTTACCTCTGCTTAACAAAGCACTAGATTATTTCACTTTTATCCCTCCTGGAGCCCTGATAAAAACGAAAATATGTCAACAATGACTAATTACAGCTTTAATGAGTCTATTGTTTACTTCCTGGCAGTAACCTAATAAGTTGACCATGTCTTAAACTCACCTGGCATTTTCCAATATAAAACATTTATAATTTTGTCTTTGACAACTTTCACCCCCAGCTGTTCTGGTGAGAAAAGAAAAGTCATCATTAGCACAAAGACATTTACAGTATGCCCACCTTTCCCAGCGGTTTGGTACATTTTAACGTCTCATCAGACGGAGCAGCAGGCAGCTTCCCAGTGCCTGGCGTGGAGCCTGCTAAGGTCTGATCATGAAGAGAATCCTGGCAGGGCACCATGGCTCTACCGTGTTCTGTAACTTTAGAACTTGCACACATTTTCAGGTTAATCATAATTTTGGGCTGAGAAAAGCCATGAGAAATACTCAAAAGTGTGTATAGTTTACTGAAATTATACTTAAATAAGGTTGCTACCCAGACTTACACAGCACTGAGAAAGGGACTTTTGTTGGAAACATACTCTATTGACTGCTCCAACCCACAGTGACTGTGCTCACTGAAAAAAAGAATCATGATTTCAGCAAAGAAATAAATGCCAAGAGTTGGAGTTTTCATAAGCTAAGACTTGGTATGAGTCAGTTCTTATGAAATTAGCTTTGCCTGTACTTTCCAGAGTCACTCTACACTGAGTTGCTGTAAGAACTCGGATTGGCTTACATTGTATCTCATCTCTGCATGGTGGCCTCCCTGAAGTCCATTCCTGCCCAAGAGAAAACATTACCTTTCCCATTAACGATCTACATATTACTTTCTGGTATTTTTTAACAAAAGGACAGATATCATAATTTACTACATTAAGTCAAAATACTGAGAGTAAATGTTAACATGTGAGAGGGAAAAGAATCACAATAAAGCATCTGTCACAAAGTATACATTTGCTTATCTGGCACTGCCCAATTTATGAAGGTCTATGTCCTCAAGAAATTCTTGGGAATCAATCTATTGCTTCAACATCAAAGAATGCCCTTCCTATATCACTGTCATCAGCTTTTAAACAGAAAAATCCACCTATCTTTCTTTTACTGTCTTGTCTCCTAAGGTTCCAGTGAGCTTAACTGCAAGTGTACGGTTCCTTCTGGCTAAACTCAAAGCTTTCCTGCTGAGATCTGAGCCCAGGTTGGTAGGTACTGTTATTACAATGAGAAGCAAAATTATGAAAGCTAAATGCTTGCATATTAAATTTCAGGAGTATAAGTTCTAGTTACATAAATAAAGAAAGAAGTTTCACATTCATTGTGTCTATATATTTCTGTTAAATACATTAAGGTAAATATTCCATTGACTATTGGGGAGGTTATGTTTGAGAATAAAGTTGACTCTTCCCTTCTCTGATAACATCAGTAACTGATCTTCTAGTTCATATTTATACAATGACTAACACAGGCTAATATTAAGTCCATTTTATTTCCCCCAATTAAGCAGAAGGTGGGGCTATGATATTATATACCTGAAACTCTTCCAACTTCTAGAAGAGCTGACTTTCCCTAGGATCTAAAACAGAAACTAGTCTTATTTTTTTTTATTGATTTCAGAGAGGAAGGGAGAGGGAGAGAGAGATAGAAACATCAATGATGACAGAGAATCATTGATCGGCTGCCTCTTGCATGCCCCCCAACAGGGATCGAGCTCGCAACCCAGGCATGTGCCCTGGACTGGAATAGAACCCGAGACCCTTCAGTCTGCAGGCTGATGCTCTATCTGCTGAGCCAAACCATTTAGGGCCAGAAACTAGTCTTATAAATTCAACTACAGGTAAGGTGTCCTTGTTGAATAATCAAATTATTTTACAAATGTCAGCAAGTGATATACTATATGTCATGGTGAGTAGGTTTACAATTTCTTATGCAATACACATAAGTAAAATAAAGTCTGAGGAATGAGTATAAGAATGCAAGCTGGAACATTTTTTTTCTCCAGCATAACAGCATTGACTGGGTTACATCAGGTATTGATTGCAAAGGATCAGCGAGGTCATAATGAACACACAGTCACAGGCATGTATGTACACACGCACACACCATGCACATATGCATACAGGTACATCAAGCATGGAAAGGTCTTTAGGGAGTGGACTGTGCACCCATTCCCTAAAGCCAGTCTTTTATTTTACCTGATCTTATCAGAAAATACGTCTGCTTGAATGTTTATGGAGTAAGCCAGACATAGATATAATTTGCAATACAAACTTTGTAAAATATACACACTTGAATTTTTCTATGCCCATAATTCAAAGTAGGAAAGTGAGATTACCTTTTTTGTTGAGAATTTGGAGCAAGATTTCTAATGGGCAAAAGCTACCCTAGCCCGGCCAGTGTGGCTCAGTGGTTGAGCATTGACCCATGAACTAGCAGGTCATGGTTTGATTCCTAGTCAGGGCACATGCCCAAGCTTCAGGCTAGATCCTCAGTAGAGGGCATGCAGGAGGCAGATGACCAATGATTCTCTCTCATCATTGATGTTTCTATCTTTCCCTCTCACTTCCTCTCTCTGAAATTAAATTTAAAAAATATTTAAAAAGCATCTAACTTCTAAAAAAAAAAACTACTCTAATTGTAAAGAGGGGTGGCATACTACAGAAATGATGCCTAGCTCCCTTTACCTGGGAGTAAGGTGGTGCTAATTTCCTGGATGGGCAGAAGAAGACAGAGAAGGAAGTTCTTTGTATAAGAAGTGAGTGGTACATTAGGGCACCATCAGTGTTGTTATGGACCCTGACAGATTGCCCAGGTGGAGGCCTTATGAAGTTGTGCATTAAATGTGGCACAGCGTGCTTCAAAGGGAAGATCAAGAAGTTGCCTGGGGACTCTACACTGTCAATGACCTCTAAGATTTCTGCTTTTGATAAAAACTAGTACAGCAAACACATTTACAGAACCTCTGTATGTAAAACACTAAACCCAGGAAAGAGGAGGAAATGAAAAAAAGAACATGGAAATACATGTGAGACACTTTAGAAACAATGAGAAGCAAAAATAAAGGGATATTGGTAAGAAATTAGAGAAAGAGTATGGAATATATAATCAAAATTAGGCTTCACATTCTGCTTGTAGCACAACTCCATTTAGAAAGCAAGGATACTAACCTCCCCAGACTCACTCATCTACTCACTCACCCAATAAACATTCATCACCATGTTCTATGCACTGGGCCCATAGAGCTTATTGTGGGATTAAATAAAATGGCATAAAAGGTCCCACTACCCCAACAACCGCAATAGCTAAAGCAACCGCATGCCCTGGTATGCTGACCACATGCCCAGTTTTCGCCTCCTGTTCTGTAAATGGCATCTCCTTCCACTCTCAGAAGGGTTCCAATTTGAATAAACTGTCTGGTCACTGCAATTCGTAAGAGCCTCCTAACTTGTCTTCAGGCCTCCAGTTTTGCCTTTCCCCCATCCATTCACCACATCACAAGCAGTTCTCTTTGAAAACTGTAAATCAGACCACGTCACTGTTCTGCCTAATCCTTTCCAATGGCATCCCATCAAACTGAAAACAACACCCGAAGTCCTTCTGCCTTACAAAGTGCTGTGTTTCTTCTTGTTCATTATAACTTGCAGTACCACAGAATCTCATGCAGGAGACTCATTGGCCAAAACCCTCCTTTCTATGATCCCATATGCAAGGCTCCTAATGGGGCAACACATTATTTTGTTTCTTTTTTTAAATGTATCTTTATTGCTGAAAGTATTACAGATGTCCCCTTTGTTTGTTGTTGTTTTTCCCATTGACCCCTTTCAGCCCATACCTTCTCCTCCCAGGCCTTCACCACTCTATTGTCTGTATCTATGGGTCATGCATATGTGCATATAAGTTCCCTGGTTATTGTTTATAAATGTTAAAAAATGGGTGACTGTTTCAGGAAAATTCCAGAAAGCATCATCACCATAGGATGCTAATACCATTTACATTCTCTGTAAACGGAAGGATGACGTTTGCTACTGAGCCCCTGTTTTCACTTTGGACTTGATCCTTGGACAGAGGATAATTAATTAATTGCTCCATAAGATATGAGACTCTGCAGGCAGGTCTTCCTGTGGACAAATTTCAGTGAAGTTGAATACTCAGAACCTATATTCTAGAGAACTTTTGGAAGATTAGAAAAATTTATAATTTACCTGCTTTATTTCTCAAACCCCACATATTTTAAAATAAAGTTATGGTTGATCTTCCCCTATGTGATACAAAAACAAAATTCTAGAAAAAAACTCTTGTTTTTTTCCCTATATTCCCGCCCCCCCATAATTGTTCTCTAAAAGTGGCCTCTGTAGACAGTTTCTGGAGGTGTACATAAAGACTTTCTTGGATCCCAGCATCTGCTCAGCCATGATGACTGAAGTCCTTATGGGAGCCTCACGCAATAGACATTCCTTATGGGTCTAGTGCAGTGGTCGGCAAACTGTGGCTCGCGAGCCACATGCGGCCCTTGAGTGTGGCTCTTCCAAAAAATACCACGTGCGGGTACGCACATACAGTGCAACTGAAACTTCATGGCCCATGCGCAGAAGTCGGTATTTTGTGGAAGAGCCACACTCAAGGGGCCAAAGAGCCGCATATGGCTCGAGAGCCGCAGTTTGCTGACCACTGATCTAGTGAAAAGAAGTAGCTTTAACTATATTAAGGCAAGAAATAACCAAGAAGATAATATATTAACTAGCTCACTCATTAGTGTTGATTAGGTTAACTCATCAAACTCATTACCTCCCACAGTTACCTAAACCTATGTCTTCCAAGGCAAGTTTTCATTAGTAAAGTACCTGGTTAAAAAAGACACAACATATTTTGTTAAATGGATTACGAAAAAGCAGCAAAGATTAGAACGAGGCATATTTGTATTAATGAAATTCCTTAATGGGAATATAGAGAGGAAACCTAGTAGAATAAGGTCAATGGGCAGATGGAGGGACACTGAGAAAAGAGGTGGGGGTGTCCAAAGTCAAACCCCTATAACCCCTCCCTGGAAATTTTGTTCCTGGCTGGCCTTAAACACTTCATAACACAATCTAAATATCCATATTGTGGCTGGTCTCGGCTCACACTGGTCGAGCTTCAGATTCTAAAAGCTATTGTAAATAATTAAGTTGGGAAAACCACTCTGCCCTTTACCAGTGGCATTTAATTGAATATACTAGTATAATAATCTGAATGTTTGCTACTACACTAAGTCTAAAGATGTGTTGAAACAAGATGCAATAAAATGGTGAGGAGTAAAGGAGAAATACCAAATTGTTCAGCTAGAACTTATAAAGACATATTTGTATTACTGGATTCCAGATGTAAGAGAAGCCACAAGCAAAAAGCTACCAAAAAATTCAAATGAAAGTGGTCTGAATAAATAGGATGAAATGAGATGAAAACATTAGAAGTCAGATAATAAAAGGCCTGGGCTGGATAAAGGGGAATTTTATAAACTCCTGAGAAGAGCTATGTATCATTCTGAGCATAGTATAAAGGCTAGTCCTTCAACCAAGATAAAGTGTACTAACAGTAACAGACATGGAGAGAACCTACCGAATGGCCTACGAGGCATGACTGTGATACTTCAGAAAAAGACAGAATCAAGACACTTCAGACCAATTCAAAGAATTAAATAAAAACACAAAGGGAATGGCTCTAACTGGTTTGGCTCAGTGGATAGAGTGTCGGCCTGCGGACTGAAGGGTCCCAGGTTCGATTCCAGTCAAGGGCATGTACCTTGGTTGTGGGCACATCCCCAGTAGGGGTGTACAGGAGGCAGCTGATCGATGTTTCTAACTCTCTATCCCTCTCCCATCCTCTCTGTAAAAAATCAATAAAATATATTTTTTTAAAAGAGAATGAATACAACATTAAGAAGTTGACCTAATTTCCATTTTTTTCTTTTTTCAGAGTCTTTAGAGAAAACTATACTTATAATTTCTTTGCTGCTATCACAGCATTTTCCTTTTAATTCTGAGCCAAAACCCAATTCCAAACGACTGGAATCATTCAAATTATGGTTTCCTGGATGTCTTTTTTTGAGTCCACACTTGCCATGGACTGCCAAGCATGAAGCTCTCTCTGAAACTCACAGGACCTTAGAGAGTTCTTTCTCATCAACTTTTTGCTAACTGTTAGTGATGTACTCACTTAGCCAAACTATCCAGAAAATACTATATTCTCACTTTTATTTATTTTTAATTTTTAAAAAAATATGTTTACTGTTTCAGAGACAAAGAGAGAAGGAGGGAGAGAGAGATAGAAATATCAATGATGAGAGAAGATCATGGATCGGCTGCCTCCTGCATGCCCCCTACTGGGGATCAAGCTTGAAACCCGGACACTTTCTCTGACTGGGAATCTAACCATGACTTCCTGGTTCATAGGTCAATGTTCAACCACTGAGCAACACCAACCAGGTAGTATATCCTCACTTTTAAAAGAGAATGTCAAGACAGTTCAACAAACATTTACTGAAGATCAACTATATGCAAGAAATTTTCTAAGTCTTGTAAATGGAGACAGAGGCAAGAAGCTAAGCCATGAATTGAATTCAGTTTCTACTCTGAATCTGCCTCAAATTTACTGGAAGATATCCATATCAGGAAATGACCTTGAAACAGATACTCACATTGTGTTCTCTGCTGCAGAAACTGGAATGGTTTTGTGGTCTGTTTCTATATCATGCATTTCGTAAAACACATCCATAAAGGAAGAGAAAGACAATATTTGGCATGTGCAGAAATAAGATATGCACCCCTACTGTTCTAATTCAGTTCCTTCATTTAGTCACACATCAAGACAGGGGTATGAGAGATACACATGATCTGAGCAAAAAGATAAGGTTCATTGGCAAAAGACACTGCTTGCTCTCCTGAATCACAACTCGTAATTATGTTCGTTCCGTTTTTTTCATAAGCCCTTCATGCTTAGGTAATCCAAGACAGGTGAACAAAAACAAAATCCAGAACTATCTTGTAAGGGCTTTACAGAGATGAAAGAAACTTGAGCCCAAAGGAATTTTACCTGTTTGGTTTCTTTTGCTGGTTCTCTCTAGAAGGCATTTTGGCTGAAGAAGTCATCCACTGAGAAACAAAAATAGCTATTCCGAATCTTTTTGTTTGGTTTCTTTTGCTGGTTCTCTCTAGAAGGCATTTTGGCTGAAGAAGTCACCCACTGAGAAACAAAAACAGCTATTCCAAATCTTTTTCCAAATATAGGAGTTTTGTCGGGACACTCGTAAATCAAGGCCCCACTGTATAGGAGTTTCGGAATCTTGTTGAGAAAGGTGGTAATCTCAAAATTAGGCCAGATTAGGATGTGACCCTAGCAAGCTATGGGGTCAGACATGGTTCGAATCCCAGCTCCTCTACTGACTAGCTACACAGCCTGAAAATTTTATTCAACCTCAGTCCCAGATCCCTCTTGTGTAAATAATGGGGTCCCACATATATGTAGAAAACCTGGCTTACCCCTCAGCCAACTCGAAGATACTGCACACGTGGAGATGGATCTGTTGGCAACAACTTCTTTGCAATCCTGTAATTTATTTTTAATTAGTATTGCAACTGCAAACACCCATTAATAACATTTCTCAATTTGTGCATTACCTAAATAATGAGGCCCTGGCCAGGAAGTTCAGTTGACTAGAGTGTTGGCCAATATTCCAAGGTTGTAGGTTTGATCTCCAGTCAAGGCACATAAAAAAATTAACCAATGATTGCATAAATAAGTGGAACAACAAATGGCTATTTTTCTCTTGCTCTTAAATCAATTTTAAAAACCACTTAATAATGACTGCAATAAATGACTCTGTTCCTAGTCAACCTGTATTTATTGGAAACACTTATAAAGTGCTCAAGTCCTATAAAAAGTAGCATAGAATATAATACTTGCTCTAAAGGGTTTATACTTTAAGAAACAATTTTGAGTGCTTGCCAAAATATATTGTTAAGTAAAAACAGGTGTACGCATTTGTCAATGGACATGGGATTATACACTTAAAATGGGTGTGCTTTTTAGTGTGTAAATTGTTCCTCAATTAAATCACTGAAAGATAATCACTGGGGGGAAAAATACTGCTGTCCAAGTACAATTCCTAGACATTCTGATAAAATGGATCTGGAGTGTGTGGCTTGGGGAGAGGAGGTTTAAAACCATCCCAGATGATTCTAAAATGAAACAAACAAACAAACACAAAAGCAGACAAATAAGATGCCAAACAGTAGGATAGTAATTTAGAGATGCCAGAGTTAGCAAATAATATTCAGGACAGTCAGTTAAATTTGAATTTCAGATACAACACCAATTAAATTTTTAGTATAAGACCCAAATATTGTGCATTTAGCTGGATGTCAAGTATTTCATTTGAAAACCCTAAATAGTGTCCTAACTTTTGTGCAAAATAAAAGGCGGGGAGAAAGGAGAATAAGTGTATCTAATTGTTTATTTATGTAGGTATAAAATAGATTTGGAAAATTTGCTTCTGGGAAGGGGAGCTAGATGGGAGGCAAGGAAAGGAAGGATACTGTTCACTGTATACTTTCACGCCTTTTGAATTTTGGACCACAGAATGTACTACTTATTTTTAGAACAAATATAATTATAAAATTTAAAAATAAATAATTTCTAATAGGAGTTAAGAATCACTATAGGGAGACAAAGCAGATATATATGGTACACTTAGAAAACAAAGCTGATAGGAATTTGCCCAAATACTTGATTCTAGTATACTCTGATTTTTCAGTGTAGTTAGATGTAAGTAGATATTAACCATTTGTTGAGTTGCTAGACTATAACTGGAATTACTAGTAACTTTAGCAACCTCCTGTTGTGTTGCTATTATGTTAAGCCAGCAATTTTCAACCGGTGTGCTGCAAGAATTTTTAAAACCTGCAATACCTGACTATTTAGTCAGGGGCACTGACATCTTTTCCCTTAGATTGTCAACTTAAAAAAATGACAGCCAACACAATAGCTGTCTGCTGTGAATGAATAAAAAATATACCTATTTTTTAGTCAGATCACCAAAATACATACTTTTTTGGTGTGCCGTAGAATCTTAGTAATTAGTTTATGTGTGCCATGAGATGAAAAAGGTTGAAATCACTATAATCACTGTGCTAAGCACTTTACATACATTAATTAATTTAATTCTCACAAAAATATCTGGGGGTTTTGCAAATGAAAAGACTGATACACAGAAAAGTTAGTTAACTTGCCCAGGACCACACAACCAATGATTGGCAAGCTCAGGGTTCGAATCCAGATCTGTCAGAATCCACAGCCTGTTGCTTTTAAACACAAGACACCACCACACTGTCTTTCAGACACGCATTCCTAATGTCAGGAGATTTGGTTTGGGGCGTGGAAGTCAATGCAACGAGAGAGAGCAGTGAGTAAGCACTTTTCTACACTAGCATCCGTCAGCAAGCAATGAAACATGGCACACTCATAAGTACTTCCTTGGTTTTTAAGTAAATATACAGACATTCTTCACTTTCTGCAGTGCTTCCGCTCCAGGTCAGTTCATAAATGCCACTTACACAAGTGTAAACATATTTAGAACAAATTGGGAGTCTTCTTTCTAAATAAACTAGTACATTCCTTTATAGAAGGGAAGATATTTTGTAATACGACTGACCTCTGTTTGGTTGCTTCTGGACGGTGTACAAAGTGACCATAACCTAGGAGTCTGCTAATTGCCCTTTAGAGTTGAGGGTCTTCATACAATACATGCGTGATGGTCTATGTGTGAAGAGGACTCTGCTAAATTACAAAGGATCTAAGTAGTTACGTTTCTAGCTTGAGTCTGCATTTAGTTAATTTCTTATTTTAAAAGTATGAGTAAATATTTGTCAGGGAGAAGCAGAATGTCACTGAACTTATCAAACCAGTCCTATTTTCACAGCTTATCAGAGACAGGACTATGTTAGAGGGCTGTTTCGTTTTCTGTCGTGAATGGTTTTGAAAAGATTTCTCCAAAATCTACTGTGGCCTGCACATTCTATACATTCCCAGTGACCTTCCTTCTTCATATTGCAGGGGGTCAGGAGTAGGGTAAGGGGGTTCTCTGTTGGACATGACAATTGAAAGCTAATACTTCAACAACCTTTAAAGTGAATAATTTAAGAAACAGTTGACCAAAAGCTCTCATCCTATTGAGAAGCCAGCTCTGCCTCCCTGAACAGGTATCACGGTCTCTGTCTGCAGGCATCATGGCCTCTGTCAGGTCCGGATCGGAGAGGTGGGAAGGCAGGTACCTTCCTCTCCAGCCCAAGGCCAACTAGAGGAGGGCGTGCTGCGGGTAGCGCTGCCTTGTTCATATCTGTGCTTTCTCCCATCGTACATCAACCCCCTTGAGTAACTACTATTCCAAATTCACACTTTTAAAAAATAAACTCCGGAGTCATTGAAAACGGTGCCCCTGAGACGCTGTCGGCCAGACCATGGCTCCTTTTGTCTGTAGCGCCATCTTTGTTTAGCAGTGTTTGTGCTGTCGCCAGAATATTCTGTTTATTTTCTTCTTTATCCCTTATAAAAGGGAGCATTTTCTTTGAAAGAACAAAATTAAAGAATCTGCATAAAATGCTTTATCTACACCATCAAGGATATGTCTCAAAAGCTATGAGTAATTGAGGATTTTATGTTAATTTTACCTCCCTCCAGTTCCCTACTGCTTATCACCCCAAACTATACCATAAAATTTATTGTTTATATTTTTGAATATATTCGATTTGATAGATATTTTCCCGAATGTATTACATCCTCATAAGGTACTGCCAGTAATCTGCATAAAACTTATATTATTTCCAATAAATCAAATTGCATCTCCATTTAATTGCATTTGTTATATCTAACTGAATCAAGTTTTTTTTTTCTCTTCCTAATTTTAAAATTACAAAAATTGAATCATTTATATCCTTTACAAACTATAATGGTTAAAAAATTTTTCCCTCAGTTTTCTCAAGACCTCACTCTCTCCTCCCACTCCCCCTACCCCCGTATGTCACCGGCCTGTTCTTACTTCAATGTCTCCTTATCTAGAGCCTGTGGAAATATACGTACATTTATTTATGAATAAGTTACATGAATTTTCCCCATCTAATATTTTAGCAATATGAAGGCCCAAGACTCAATATAAAAATATCTGTACAAAAATTGCTGATAGCCCAGCTGATGTGCTTCAGTGGTTGAGTGTGGACCCATGAACCAAGAGGTCATCAGTACGATTCCTGGTCAGGGCATATGCCCAGGTTGCAGGCTTGATCCCCAATAGGGGGTGTGCAGGAGGCAGCTGATGGATGATGTTTTTCTCTCATTGATGTTTCTATATCTACCCCTCTCCCTAACCTTCTCTCTAAAAATCAATAAAAACATATTTTTTTAAAAATTGATGATAATGTATGTTTATAAAACAGCCATAAACAACTATTTTTATAAATTCTGACAAGTGTTAGGTTAATAATTGAATTAATTAAAAAATCAGGACAAATTAAGCTCAAGAATTTGGGCATCAACAATCAACCCATAAAATATATGTGTGAAGGTTTCGAGGAGTTTATAAGCTTTTGCTGAATAGTTTTGGTTTTCCTTAAAATTTCACTATTTGAGCCTATACTTTGTACCTTCCTCCACATCTTATCAGAAAATTCTTAGCACCAGTGGGAGAATGGATCAACAAATAAAAGTGAGCATGGATATTTAAAAGAGTAAAGGCTTGGAGGGGGCAGTTCCAGGTCTATTTAATTAAGTAGAGTAGTCAGGTGGGTTGGAGGCTCCAACCTTTCTCATTCTCCTGGGCTGCCCCATGGTGACTGTTAAATTCATAGATAAATGCAGACCTCTCTGTCTACAGCAGTGGTTCTCAACCTTGGCTTCACATTAAAATCACCTGAGAATCTTTTTAAAATCCTGATTTCTGGGCCTCATCCTCC